CGCCAAGGCTATCAGAGGTTACGCGCGCAACCGGGGAGGCCAAAGACCCCCATGTCAACCGGGAGCTTGAAAGAAAAAGAAGGCGGCAACTGATAGCAGGACAGAGACCACTAAGTCTATCAGGAGTCACGCAGAGCAGCCGGGGCAGGCCAGAGACCACTAAGTCAAACCCGGAAGCTCTAAAAACAAAAGAGAAGGCGGGGTAACTGATAGCAGGACAGAGACCACTAAGTCTATCAGAACTCACGCCGGGCAGCCGGGCTGACTAAGTCAACCGGAAGCCGAAGCAGGCGGGTAACCGATAGCACGCTAAGTCTATCAGAGGTTACGCGCGCAACCGGGGAGGCCAAAGACCCCCATGTCACCCGGGAGCTTGAAAGAAAAAGAAGGCGGCAACTGATAGCAGGACAGAGACCACTAAGTCTATCAGGAGTCACGCAGAGCAACCGGGGCAGGCCAGAGACCACTAAGTCAAACCCGGAAGCTCTAAAAACAAAAGAGAAGGCGGGGTAACTGATAGCAGGACAGAGACCACTAAGTCTATCAGAACTCACGCCGGGCAACCGGGCTGACTATTCGGATCGTCCAAGCTTCTGTTGCGAGACGGCTTGCCGGCTGCCTCAGTTTTGCTCGGATCGACCAGGATAGGAATGAGTTGAGGAGGTGACCCGCGGCATCGTCAGCGAAGGGTAAGTGTCGGCGTCTTCGGACAACGTCCTTGCTCCCGCTGGCCTGACGTGGTTAAACGCTCGCAGGCTCATGTCAGACACAGCGATCTTCTACTACCCGTCTTGAAACACGGACCAAGGAGTCTAACACGTGTGCGAGGCTTAGGGTGTCAAACCCACAAGCCGCACTGAAAGGGAGATGTGCCAATCCTTGAGGACGCAGCACAGCCCGATCCTGATTTACTGGAAAGGGATTTGAGGTTAAGTACACTTGTTGGGACCCGAAAGATGGTGAACTATGCCTGGATAGGACGAAGCCGGGGGAAACCCTGGTGGAGGTCCGTTGCGGTGTTGACGTGCAAATCGCTCGTCAAAGCTGGGTATAGGGGCGAAAGACCCATCGAACCATCTAGTAGCTGGTTCACTCCGAAGTTTCCCTCAGGATAGCTAGAACCAAAACAGGAGTTACGCCAGGTAAAGCGAATGATTGGAGGCATTGGGGAAATCGCTTCCTCGACCTATTCTCAAACTTTAAATGGGCGTGAGCTCGGGGTTACTTCATTGAACCCTGACGTAGAATCCTGGTTCTAAGTGGGCCACTTCTGGTAAGCAGGACTGGCGACGCGGGATGAACCGAGAGCTGACTTAAGGTGTCCGAGTGATCGCTCATCAGATCCCACAAAGGGTGTCGGTTCATCTTGACAGCAGGACGGTGGCCATGGAAGTCGGCATCCGATAATGAGTGTGTAACAACTCACCTGCCGAATGCACCGGTCCCGAAAATGGATGATGCTCAAGCGATCCACCCATAGTTGGCCGCGTACTGGTATCACAAAGCCAGGCGTGCGTAGGAGTGCGTGGTCCACGCCGCGAAGTCGTTGGCGTGAGCCTCGATGGAGCGTGGATGAGTGCAGATCTTGGTTGTAGTAGCGAATATTCAATGGAGAACATTGAAGGCCGAAGTGGAGAAGGTTTCCGTGTCAACAGCAATTGGACATGGGTCAGTCGGTCCTAAGGCAAGGTGTAATTGCTCGCCTCAAAGCTGCCACTGACGAGCTTGCTCGGACGTGCAGGATTGCCGAAAGGGAATGCGTGAACATTCCGCAACCCGGATGCAGAGATCTGAAGTGGTGACACATTGACGATCCTGTTGACCATGTCCACAGGCCCCGGATGATGCAGTCGTCTCTTTTTGAAGGAAGGGTTGACCCTTGAAACGCTTCACGCGGGGACAGGGTTAACTATCCTGGAAAGCTGCACTTTCTTCGTGTAGTAGGGTGTCTTGTGGATGTGCATGGAAAAAACAGGGGAGATCTCATTCTCTTGCATCGGGCCGTACCGTTAACCGCAATAGGTCTCCTAGGCTAAAAGCCTCTGGCCGACAGAACAATGTAGGTAAGGGAAGTCGGCAAACTGGATCCGTAACTTCGGGAAAAGGATTGGCTCTGAGGACACATGCGGGATTGTCAGTGCGGGTCAGGTCTGGGCTCAGATTGAAGGTGCTGTGAGTGGCGCTCTCGGGTGCTACCCGCGGCTCCTGATTTCTTCCAGGCCTTCTTGCATGTTGTGCCCGCAATGAAGTGTCAGCTTGGAACTGTTACGAACAAGAGGAATCCAACTGGTTAATTAAACCACAGCATTTCGCTTCATCACAGCGGTGGCGAGTGGAATGTGACTTCTGCCCAGTGCCCTGAATGTCAACGCTGAGAGATCAGGTCAAGCGCGGGTAAACGGCGGGAGTAACTATGACTCTCTTAAGGTAGCCAAATGCCTCGTCTTCTAATTAAAGACGCGCATGAATGGACCAATGAGATTCCTTCTGTCCCTACCTACTATCTGGCGAAACAGCAGTCAAGGGAACGGACTTGAAACTGTCAGCGGGGAAAGAAGACCCTGTTGAGTTTGACTCTAGTCTGACTTTGTGCAGTGACACGAGAGGTGTAGAATAGGTGGGAGGCCGCAACAATGAAATACCACTACTCTTGTTGTCGCTTTACTTATCCAATGATGGGAAGACGGCAGCTGCTCCCTTGTGGGGTTAGGGTCTTCGGATCCGTAGCTTATCCGTTTCCAGCGACAAACGGGCTTCGGCTCGCGAATCCTCGTTTGGAGACACCAGTCAGGTGGGGAGTTTGGCTGGGGCGGCACATCTGTTACACATTAACGCAGGTGTCCTAAGGCAAGCTCAGCGGGAACAGAAATCTCGCGTAGAGCATAAGGGTAAAAGCTTGCTCGATACACGATCTTCAGTACCGATCCTCGGTGTGAAAGCATGGCCTAACGATCCTTTGGTCTCGCTTCATGTTCAAGGGATGAAGCCGGAGGTGACAGAAAAATTACCACAGGGATAACTGGCTTGTGGCAGCCAAGCGTTCATAGCGACGTTGCTTTTTGATCCTTCGATGTCGGCTCTTCCTAACCTAGACAAGCAGAATTGTCTAAGGGTTGGATTGTTCACCCACTAACAGGGAACGTGAGCTGGGTTTAGACCGTCGTGAGACAGGTTGGTTTTACCCTACTGATGGAGAGAGAGCCCATCGGGCCAGCGCATTCCGACAGCAATACGGGGTAGTACGAGAGGAACTCCCGTTTCTAGTCCCTGGTATCTACGGTTGTTCGATCGGACAGTGCCGTGATGCTACCACTGGATGGATTATGGCTGAACGCCTCTAAGCCAGAACCCAGTCTAGAGGAATGCGTGAGTTACTCAGGGCACATCGGATTTATCGGGCCACGAATAGCTTCGGCGAACGGCAACTTCCAAATTCACATCCAGATCCCGTGTCTCCAACCGGGTCTATACGAGTCCGAATGGACCGGCGGGCGTAACGCACTGAGGAGCCTTGTTGTTCCGAGGGTTTGAGCCTTATGGCCGGTTCCTACGGTTATCTCCTGGTTCGGCTCCACTCGAAAGAGTGGGGTTGGATCAGGAGAAACCCGGATGTGAATTTGGAAAAAAGTGATGAATCCACCCAGAGTCTCTCGATGTTGGTCAATTTGAATGGAATGGAATGAATGGTTGAATCATCATATTTAAGGCAAATCGAAAGACGGATCTCAAGCGGAATCTCTCTTGATCTCCGGCCGCACCTTACCAAACCTGCCTCTCTTTTTCTCTCCACGTCGTATGATTCCCTGAGATGTTCGCTTCGGCTTGAGCACTCGGGATGATGACACAGGAGAGGGATAGGGGGTCCGGGGAGGTAGGGTCCCGCCCGAGAATCAGGGGAGACAAGCTTTGAGATTTCGTCGCGAGGTGACCCCTCGCCCGCTAAAATGCCCTCTTTCAGGCCCCCACCCCCTCGCCATTTTTTTTCGCGTCAAAGTTCCTGTTCTGGCCCTCGGCTCCCTTTGTAAAAAGGTTGAGCTCTGGGCCGGTGCGGGAGCTTCCCGGCGCGGAGAAGATTGGAGATGGAGGTGTTGTGCTCAGGAGCAAGGGTATGAGGTGGGCGCGTTGTTGCCAGGTGACTCTCGTGCGCTGCTCTCTCTCCTCTCTCTCCTCTCTCTCTCCTCTCTCTCTCCTCTCCCTCTCTCTCCTACAGGCAACTGCAGGGGGGGGGGGGGAGGAAGGGGGGGGGAGGGGGGGGGGAGGGCGCGTGCGCGTCGCCGACCCCCCCAGTTCGGGAAAAGGGGTCATGCCCAATATAGGAAAGGGGTCCTCCCCTCCTGGAAGCTCTTGAGCTCCAGGAGGACGGAAGGATCACTACCTCTCCTGTTGGTAATATGATGGTCAACCACGCATGAAATGAAAATCAAAGACTGGCAAATGAAAGAGACTGGTATTCATAAGGCAAGAACGCTAATCACTAGAGTGAGTCAATCACATTCTGATCGGAGCAGCACTCCGCTCTAGTGACATAGCTAACTAATCTGGCATGACCTCGCCTCGATAATCTCAAATGGCGGTGTAACATTCCACGGAAGAATCGTTCGCGATTCAAGAGAGGGATGCCGATTAGAATGAGTATGAATGACATACCACGTGCTCGAAAGACATGGAGGGAATGCAAAATGAATCGGTCATGTGCCAATGAAAATGCAAAAGTCAAGACCGTTCCTATCCCATGGACTCGTTCCAGATCCGAGTTAGCATACTCGTATGCGCTCGATCAAATGGTCAAGGTAATCGGGAAGACACGATGGTGAAATACAAAAAAGGCAATCGAGGAAAGCTATCGGTCGTAGAGATACGATCGAGGACTGCCCCTTTGAAAGCTGAAGAATGAATAGAATGATCATGCATCAATCTAGGCTTGACACGATACAATCTCTGGTATCGGGGAATCTTTGATTCGTCAGATTTTCCTCGGTCCAGTCTGGTTTGAGTGACAAGAAACCTGGTTGATCCTGCCAGTAGTCATATGCTTGTTTCAAGGATTAAGCCATGCAAGTCTCAGAGTAAATGGATTAACAGTGGGTCTGCAGACGGCTCATTAAATCGGTGGCAATCTACGCGGGGAAGGTGCCTTTTGGGCCCAGTTGGATAACAATGGTAACTCCATTGCTAATACATGTCCGAAGAATCCAACTCGATTCAACCCCGTGGCCTTAAAACCGCGGGGTCGAGGTGGATACAATTGACCGAGATAAGAACCAACGCTAGCAATAGCAGCGGTGTGTGGATGAAACAGGTCAATCGAGTGATAGCACACGACTTCAAGTCGGTGCAAGCCCGCAAGAGCTTCTGCCCTATCAGCTTTTGACGGTAGTGTAGTGGACTACCGTGGCTGTAACGGGTAACGGGGAATTAGGGTTCGATTCCGGAGAGGGAGCCTGAGAAACGGCTACCACATCTAAGGATGGCAGCAGGTACGCAAATTGCCCAATAGCAACACTGCTGAGGCAGCGAAGAGAAATAGCCTCGACACGTACTTAGTACGTTAGAAGCAATGGATGATATCTAAACCTGTCAATGAACACAATTGGTGGACAAGTCTGGTGCCAGCACCCGCGGTAATTCCAGCACCAATAGCGTATATTAATGCTGCTGCTGTTAAAAAGCTCGTAGTTGGATCCAGAGCTCAGGTTGCAAGGTGGCCCAGTTTGCTGGGCATCAGCGTACTGCTGGTATTCAGAAGGCTGGGATCAACCCCTCGCATCAAGACCTGTGCTCTATGAACGGTGGTAATGGTGCCTTGCAAGTAATCTCTTCATCGGGATGAAAGCGCTTACGCGTACACCATACGCATACGGGTCGACCACCGATGTTACTGTGAACAAACCAGCGTGCCCAAAGCAGGCGTTCGCCGTGAATGATAAAGCATGGAATAACAAGGGATCGATTCTCTCGACTCTTTTTGTTGGTCTCTTAACCCGAGAAGGAATAATCAAAACGAAGTTCTTAGCGGTTCTCTTTTGAGTTTCGTCTAAGGCCTCGTTGCGCGGGATCAATAGGGACTGCCGGGGTCGTACGTACTCCTACGTCAGAGGTGAAATTCTTAGATCGTAGGAAGACGAACTTCTGCGAAAGCATTCGACAAGAATGTCTTCATTAATCAAGAACGAGAGCGTGGGGATCCAAGATGATCAGATACCGTCGTAGTCCACTGCTGTAAACGATGCCGTCTCAGGATCGAGGGAAGTCATTTTGGCTCCCACGGCACTCCCCGAACGAGAAATCAAAGATTATGGGTTCAGGGGGGAGTACATTCGCAAGGCTGAAACTTAAAGGAATTGACGGAATGACACCACCAGCGTGGAGTATGCGGCTTAATTTGACTCAACACGGGGAATTTTACTAGGTCAGACGATCTCAAGGATTGACAGATTGAGAGCTCTTTCTCGATGAATTGTGTGGTGGTGCATGGCCGCTCCTGGTTGGTGGAGTGATTTGTCAGGTTGATTCCGTTAACGAACGAGATCTCGACCCTTAAATAGGTGGGCGTGTCGTTGTAGGGGGTGTCTTTTGGCATCGGCGGCTTGCTGCTTACCCGAGACGCGCACTACTTCTTAAGGGGACTGCGCGCGACTTATAGCGCGCGGAAGAGCGAGCCAATAGCAGGTCTGTGATGCTCCTAAATGTCCTAGGCTGCACGCGCACTACACTGACGCATTAAACGAGTTTGAGAGCCTTCCGGCTACCTATCTTGAAGAGGATGGGAAATCTTTTGAACTTGCGTCGTGATGAGGATCGATGATTGCAATTATTCTCCTTGAATGAGGAATGCCTAGTAGGCGCAAGTCATCAGCTTGCACTGATTACGTCCCTGCCATTTGTACACACCGCCCGTCGTTGCTACCGATTGGCTGTGGGATAGAGCTTGGGAGAGGGAAGCTCGTTCTTGGCAACAAGTTCAGCGCCCGAATCCAAGCAATGTTTCTCAGCTAGAGGAAGCAAAAGTCGTAACAAGGTTGCTGTAGGTGAACCTGCAGCAGGATCATTACCAAAGATTTCAATTCTGAATGGAATGAGGAAACGACTTTCAAACAGATTGGAAACCGAGGATTCAAACATGGTCATGAAGGAAATCGAAAATCCCGAGCAATCGGAAAGGCAAAACAACTGTTCCCCTCGGCTCAACTGCGGTTGATCGAGGGTGACATCAATTGCACTTATCGGTGGATGTCTTGGCTCTGGGAACGATGAAGACCGCGGCCAGACGCGATAGTCAATGGGAATTGCAGAAGCATGAGACTCATCAGGTCGTCGAACGCATTAGCGGGCTGGGTTCGCCCATGCCCATCAGCAGTTGAGTGTCGCTTGAAAATCTAATCTCTCAGACTGCGTTCGACTCTTGATTCGATGGTGATTGGCTTGCTGATTATTGTTGATCGAGTTGAATCGGTTTGAATCGAGAATGTGGCGGTGCAAAGATCATTCAACCCGATCGATGCTCTGTTTGAAATCCTGGGTCCGAGAACGAGCATCGCATATCTTCTGGAGTTGAATCGCAAGGTTTGATGAAATTGGATGGTGTTCGATCAATGGATCTTCAATGAGAGCGACTGACGATTTCCAAAAATCGTCTAGTCTCGTGAGGTTCACACTTCAAAGGCATGGATTGATTTTTGGAAAAACAGGTCGTTCGAATGAAACTCTCACCGACCTCAGCTGTTGAAGATCTACGCGCTAAACTTAAGCATATCACTCAGCGCAGGAAAAGAAAGCAACAGCGATGCTCCTAGTAACGGCGAGTGAACAGGGCAGAGCCCAAGCCTGAACCGGTGTTCTACGGATATCCGGAATGTGGCGCAAGCTGCTTGGGGACACAACTGGCGTCGAGGTAA